GGGGGGGGGCTGTTACTATAAAAGGAGGGGGCCCTTAGAAGCTTCAAGAGGAATGTCAACAGCGGCGGCGGCTTGTGAGGTAAATATTAAAACGATTAAAAATTCGCGATTTTAATTAGTTTTGTTTTAGAAAACTCAAGGATGCTGCGAGAGATGTTCCTCGCGTCGTTGCTGGTGGCGTTGGCGTGCGCCAAGCGAGACGGAGGCGACCGCGCGGACGAAGACGACGAACCTGTCAAGCTCCCCAACAAGTGTGAGGGTGAGTCTGTGGTGAGGCATTTAAACGATGATGGTGAGGGGGGTGAGTGGTTGTTTGTTTGTTAGTTGTGGTGGTTAAATGACGTACATAATTAGTACGTCAATGTGGTGAGTTTCATGTTTTATCGGTACGGTAAAAACCAGCAGCGGGCCGCGTGGTTCCTGTACTGTTGCGTTCTGCATTGACGAGTCGAAGCCGTTTTATAATGTTTTATTTTATTTATGTGGCAAGTTCGTAAGGTTCGTAATGTGGCAGGTTCGTAAGGTTCGTAATGGCCATGTCGGTGTGTTTATAGTTATTCTAGATTTGAGGCTTTCGTGACTGCAAAGATTCATCCTTTTCGGTTTTTTTCGGTAAAGTCACGTAGGTAAAAATGTAAATAAATAATAAAAATTATAGAAAAAATAATAGAAATAAAGTAATAAATCACGACGTTTCGGAGGCAACACAAATCAGGTGGGACCGTCACAGCTAAATGTTCTGTTATTTGTTGTTGAACTTATTTCGCACGGCACGTAGCCCACAGCGCCATAATAATGCACATTTCAGTCGGTGCATCAACAGTCGTGTTAGTGAATTAATCGCAATAACATTGTCGGTAGACGCATGATCGTCATGTCACTTGCTTCGTAATTGACGTGCGTGTGGGTTTTATAATGGTCATATCAGTGGGTTCATAATGGCCATATTAATGGGTTCATAATGGCCATATTAGTGGGTTCATAATGGCCATATTAGTGGGTTCATAATGGCCATATTAGTGGGTTCATAATGGCCATATTAGTGGGTTCATAATGGCCATGTCAATTAATCGTGGTCATTCCAGTAGATTCATGATGGCCATATCAGTGGGTTCATAATGGCCATATTAATGGGTTCATAATGGCCATATTAGTGGGTTCATAATGGCCATATTAGTGGGTTCATAATGGCCATATTAGTGGGTTCATAATGGCCATGTCAATTAATCGTGGTCATTCCAGTAGATTCATGATGGCCATATCAGTGGGTTCATAATGGCCATATTAATGGGTTCATAATGGCCATATTAGTGGGTTCATAATGGCCATATTAGTGGGTTCATAATGGCCATATTAGTGGGTTCATAATGGCCATGTTAGTGGGTTCATAATGGCCATGTTAGTGGGTTCATAATGGCCATATCAGTGGGTTCATAATGGCCATGTTAGTGATTTCACGATGGCCATGTTAGTGAGTTCATAATGGCCATATCAATGAGTTCATAATGGCCATATCAATGAGTTCATAATGGCCATGTTAGTGAGTTCATAATGGCCATATCAGTGGGTTCATAATGGCCATATCAGTGGGTTCATAATGGCCATATCAGTGGGTTCATAATGGGCATGTTAGTGATTTCACGATGGCCATGTTAGTGAGTTCATAATGGCCATATCAATGAGTTCATAATGGCCATGTTAGTGAGTTCATAATGGCCATATCAGTGATTTCACGATGGCCATGTTAGTGAGTTCATAATGGCCATATCAATGAGTTCATAATGGCCATGTTAGTGAGTTCATAATGGCCATGTCAGTGAGTTCATAATGGCCATATCAGTGGGTTCATAATGGCCATGTTAGTGAGTTCATAATGGCCATGTCAGTGAGTTCATAATGGCCATGTCAGTGAGTTCATAATGGCCATATCAGTGGGTTCATAATGGCCATGTTAGTGAGTTCATAATGGCCATGTTAGTGGGTTCATAATGGCCATATCAGTGAGTTCATAATGACCATATCAGTGATTTCACGATGGCCATGTCAATGAATCGTGGCCATTCAGTAGATTGATGACGGTGCTTTTTCTGGAAGACTTTACTGTTTTTTTCCTGGATTTTCTGTTGCTCTTAGTCACTTTTAAGACGTTTCTTTTTCATGTTTTTGCTTGTTGCGGTTGCACCCGATTTCAAGAGCCGCATGGCTCACAGGGCTATGCCTAAAATAAATAAATAAACTAATGTCTCGAAGGTTCATAATGGCCATGTTAGCATGGGTGGCATGGTTTGCTACATGGTGCAAAATAAGTTCTACATGCATGTTAGTAGGTTCATAATGGTCGATGTCACTGGGTTCATAATTACAATGTTATGGGATTCATATAATGGCCATGGCACAAAATTCATAATGGCTATGCTATTCCTGGTAGGAATCACCTGGTTCCATCAGCCCACAGAGGATTATTGTGTCCGTCTTTTGTGCATCCATAAATGGGCTGGGTGGGTCTGGGTGAGGGGTGGGGCTGGGTGGGGAGGGGCTGGTCACGCCGTGGTGCCCTTATAAAACTCAACGTTTAACCTACTCACGCCGGCTTGTGCCCGCCCTCACAGTCGGCCATATTTGCGGAATACACCACGCCGCCGTTGACCCTGGCCATTGACCGAGCAACCCGACGTGCCTACCAGCTCCCTCCGCAGGAATGTGTTTGGTTTATAATGCCCATGTTGGTTCATAACAGACATGTTAATGAGTTCATAATGGCTGTCAGTAGGTTTATAAGGGCAATATTGCTTCTTATGGGCTTGTAATGATGTCTTGTTCGTGTGGGCCATGTGAGTGGATTCCTAATGACTCTGTTTGAGACCCTGATTCTGCATTGCTGAAATGCTTGCTGTGCACCCCTGGGGTTGGATGTCTGGAGATTCGTAATGGGCACTCATTTTAAACTGTAAATTTTTTTTTTCTATTTCACCAGCTAAGGTTCACTTTAGCAAATGAAGCTCTTCTTTTTCGGAAGCCACCTAGCCACAAATGACAGCTCAACGAAGCGAAATTTATAGCAGCCAAATACTCCAGACGCACGTTGATTCTAAATGTGGAGGGGAAAAGCCGGAGGACCCGCAGAAAAATCCACATGACCACACGCACTGAGAGATACGCAAACTTAAAATATACAGCAGGCACCAGGGTGGGGATTGAACCCGTGATCTCCTGTATACCAGGCGAGGTCGTTAACATCTCGTCACCTAATGCACCACTCCAAGGCCTGGATTAATGGTACTGGCTAGTTTGTGTATTTTTGTTTGGTTACACTATCAACCTGTTTACAGCCAAAGAAAAACCCCTTAGAATAAAAAAACCTATTCATGGTCAAGTTCAGAATGGCAAGGTCGCACATCAGCATGGTACAATCGGCATACAAATTTTAGCAAGGTCAGTATAACGCACCATATTGTAATTGTGTATATACACTTAGTCTGCAATGCAAAGTGATCAATTGCACGTACCTGCCAAAGGACAGCTGATGCTCAAAAGTGATTTTTTTTTACTCGGACAGGAATGGTAAAGTTTCGATTCCAAACATCTTCGCCAAGTTATTCCAAACATTATGGGCTGCCACGTGGAAGGAATTGAAACCAAGTTGGCTTGGTTTTATCGGGGCTCATAGCTCGGTGGGGCTTTACCTGGTAAAATAAAATAGTTTAGTTTTTTGCATCTTTTTTTTTGAGTAAATTGCTCACTTTACCTATCCCATACTTTGTCGTGTTTTTTTTATTTTTCATAATCAACGTTTTTGGGTTTAGATCGCGTTATTTATAAATGTGTCGTAACCCTCCACCACCCGACACGGCCAATCGGATGAGTTAATGATGACGTCGGCATGCTGCTGCTGCTCTATATAAGAACGGGAGACAGAGCAGAGCCTCACCATTCTGGAGAATAGCCCGATGATGCTGGATGCAATTACCATCGAAACGTCGTACTACTCAAAAATTGTAAATGTTGTGGTTTCACGCTTCAACACACCGGTGGGCTAAAGCAGTGAACTATTTTGTCTTTTGTCAACGTGACACTTTTATGCTGATTGGCCGTGTCGGGTGGTGGAGGGTTACGACACATTTATAAATAACGCGATCTCAACCCAACAACGTTGATTATGAATAATATTGGTCGCGAAAGCCTACGTGTTAAATTGATGTTTTTGTATTATTTGTTGTAACATTTTGACCCTTGTGCCCTTACTAAATATCTAAAAAAATAGCTTTGTGGCTCAAAGGATTCCTCCTCCTGTATGAATAAATATTCCTGTTCATAATGGCCGTGTCAGACACTACACCAGAAACCCTTGAGATGGGCATCTTTTGCAAGAAGTCTATCGCAAACATCTGGAGGTTTTGTGAAATCCGTAAATTTTCCCCAATTTTCTGTGACCATTCACAATCAAATCGGGATTTGTATTCATACTGGAGGAGGCATCCGATGCGCCATAAAGATATTTTTCACAGGATATCCAGTAGAGGGCACGGGGTCGGAATGTTAGAACGACAAACAATACAAAGACACGATCGGAGTGCAAAGTACAGGAAGGGTAAAAAAAAAATGCTTAAAATTATACAAATAAAACTATAAACTATTTTTATATTACAAAGTAAAGCGCTGCTTGGACAGGACGCGTCACAGCGATAGAAGGGACGATGGTTGTGATGGTCAAGGGTAATAACGGAGTGGCAGTCAAGGAATGGAACTAGTCTGAGGTTTATGTTCTTCACCGAGGAGATGGAGCGATGAAATCCGCTGGTGTGTAGAGAGTGGGTTGTGGGGCGCCACGGTGGCTAGGAGATGTTGACTACCTCGCCTGGTACGCAGGAGGTCGTGGGTTCGATCCCGACCCTAACGATGCCTGCTGTATATTTGGAGTTTGCGTGTCTCTCTCTCTCTCATCATCATCATCACGGTGGCTAGGAGATGTTGACTACCTCGCCTGGTACGCAGGAGGTCGTGGGTTGGATCCCGACCCTGACGATGCCTGATGTATATTTGGAGTTTACGTGTCTCGCTCTCTCTCATCATCATCACGGTGGCTAGGAGATGTTGACTACCTCGCCTGGTACGCAGGAGGTCGTGGGTTGGATCCTGACCCTAACAATGCCTGATGTATATTTGGAGTTTACGTGTCTCGCTCTCTCATCATCATCATCATCACGATGGCTAGGAGATGTTGACTACCTCGCCTGGTACGCAGGAGGTCGTGGGTTCGACCCCGACCCTGACGATGCCTGCTGCTGTATATTTGTAAATGGCTTATCACGTGGACATTTATAGCAGCCAAATACTCTGAACGGGTGACGTTGGGTCGAAATGTGGAGGGGGAAACTGGAGGATGACCCGGAGAAAAATCCACGCGACCACACGGAGAACCATTCAAACTCCAAATATATAGGGTCTGGGTTTAACCCACAACCTCCTGTATACCAGGCGAAGGAGGTAACATCTTGCCATAGCAGCGCCAATAATGATCGTTCTTGCCAATAACTGTGAAAGAAATGTATTTTCGGATTTTCTGGATAGTAGTATGGAAAAAGGGAAGCCTTGTGGTAAAGCTGGAACAGTCACCAACTTCCCCCACAAAATGTTTCTGCCTTTTCAAGGACGACCGATTCATGCAAAAAAGCGGTGATTAATAATAAAATCGCCAAGGACGGAACTAGCCAATGGGAAAACGGTTACGTGCGAGGGCGGACCAATCAAAAATTGGCATGCGAGTCGACCAATCTGAAATTGGCACGTCAGACCCAGCCAATCGCGGATCAACGCGTGGCGCAGCGTGGTTGACACAGGCCCTGGTGTCGAGATTGAAATGTGTGTGCGCTGAACTTCTTTCGTGCCGTACGTGGCCACCCGTGCTAATCGGAGGCACGGGGGGGGGGGGGGGGGGGGATGGACAACAAACTAAACACAAAGCATCTTCACTATGGGGACCTCATTTGCCAGTAAAAATATGATAATTGGTTCTTTACCCTTCTATCTGGCAACAAAACTGACACCTTTTTGCAAGGAGTCATGTTTGCATAGTTGTGCACCTTTTGGCGTCATCTGGTCCAACACCATGTGAGACTAGGCTCTAAGGAAAGCTGTCTCGGGTGTGGACCAATCAACTTCAAGGACAGTGCACATTATCAGAGTTATGTTCTTTTGTTTGTATTATGACTGCAGGTATTGCGGTCTATGCAAACATGACTCCTTGCAAAAAGGTGTCAGTTTTGTCGCCAGATAGAAGGGTAAAGAACCAATTATTATAACAAAGCATCTTCTTGGTTCTTTCGGTAAAGTCACGTAGAAGGGAAGTAATAAAATAATAAAAATTTAACAGAATAAGATACAATTAAATTTCGATTTAAAGCTTGCGTGACTGCAGGGATTCATCTTCTTGGTTCTTTCGGTAAAGTCACGTAGAAGGGAAGTAATAAAATAATAAAAATTTAACAGAATAAGATACAACTAAATTTCGATTTAAAGCTTTCGTGACTGCAGGGATTCATCTGCTTGGTTCTTTCGGTAAAGTCGCGTAGAAGGGAAGTAATAAAATAATAAAAATTTAACAGAATAAGATACAATTAAATTTCGATTTAAAGCTTTCGTGACTGCAGGGATTCATCTTCTTGGTTCTTTCGGTAAAGTCACGTAGAAGGGAAATAATAAAATAATAAAAATAAAACATAATAAAATAATTCTCACGACGTTTCGGCCACAACGCAAGCAGCCGTCCTCAGGTGAATGAATAGATTCAGACGCTGTCGCCCCGACAGACCTGGTTTTCACCTGAGGACGGCTGCTTGCGTTGTGGCCGAAACGTCGTGAGAATTATTTTATTATGTTTTATTTTTATTATTTTATTATTTCCCTTCTACGTGACTTTACCGAAAGAACCAAGAAGATGAATCCCTGCAGTCACGAAAGCTTTAAATCGAAATTTAAACAAAGCAGTTATAAATAAAATGAGTTTTCTATCGAGATGATTTAAAAGTCCTCCAGTGGCTTCCTATATATCGGAAAGAAGAGCGTTCCAGACGGTAGCAGGAGCGCACCTGGAAGCGGTGACCACCGCCTTCGTTCGGCCGCCAGGCAAAAGCCAGCGCTGCCACCGCCGGCGCCACTGCTGCCGCTGCGAGAGATGATCGGACTTCTTTCGCACCATACGTAGCCACCGGTGTTCATCGGAGGTATCGTGCGCTAACCCCCCCCCCTCCCAGTGTGCAAGTTCCTCGCCGTGGAGCTGACCAAGTCGTTTGAGGAGACGGGAAAGTCTCACGACGTCCTGGAGACGCAGTCCGGCTTCGTGGACAAGCCCCGGCACAAGATCAAGTACCGTCACTCGTGAGTGGCAAGCGCCGTGTGTGGCGTGTGTAACGTGTGTAGCGTGTGTAGCGTGTGTAGCGTGTGTAGCGTGTGTAGCGTGTGTAGCGTGTGTAGCGTGTGTAGCGTGTGTAGCGTGTGTAGCGTGTGTACGTGTGTAGTGGGAAGCGATAGTGTAGCGCGCTGCGCTATGAACCTAGCGACCCAGGTGCGATTCCCGCTCACGGCCAACACCAGTGACGATTATCTCATCCGGTTCTGGGCCTCCCCTAGGTCGACTCTGCCTGAAACGAGTACCCGGTGCGGTGTGTAAACATCGCCACTGGAGAGACAAAGGCGGTCGGGCGTGGTGTTGGCCACCCACCCCCTCGTGTACCGTTCCAGCCTTCATAGGTGCTTGCTAACAGCACTTGCCCCTACAGTCTGTTAAGGCTATACGGGGGATCTTTGTGTGTGTGTATATGGTGCTTTGGCCAGTCCTCTCAGTCGGTCAACCTATGGCACCTGGGTCTGCCCCGTGACATGCTGCCGAACGGGCGTTCGACACTTCACGTGGCCTCAACATGCACATAGCCTGGCACAAGCCCCATGGTGTGCCTTCACCGCCACTTGGTGGCAAATGGCAGTTGTTATTGTTGTGCGGCCATCCACGTGGGGAGCGGTAGTGTAGCGGTTTCTGCGCTGTGCTACGAACCCGGCGTCCCGAGTTCGATTCCCGCTCACGGCCACCACCAACACCGGTGGTGATTATCTGAACCGGTCCCGGGGGGGAGCGGGATCTTTGTCCACGTTGTATATTCGGTGCGACGTATACGGCGTTGGCGCCGAGCGAGCGTCTTCCTCCTGTGTCCAGGGAGACGCGCTTGATCGAGGCGACGGAGGACGTCTGCAACCGCTTGCTTGAGTACAACGTGCACAAGGAGCGCGACGGGAGCAACCGCTTCGCAAAGGTGGGGCGGCTCGTCACCTACTTTGTCTACCCCACCCCCCGCTGCCGTGACCCCTGAACCGCGCTGCCGCGACCCCTGAACCACGTTGCTGCGACCCCCTGAACCCCGGCTACCGTGACCCCTGAACCCCGGCTACATACCATGCGAGGAAGATGACGCCAATTGAACTCGTCTATTAAGACAACCCCATCGCTCAACTATTGCAATCAAGTAAACGGCCAATCGGTTAAACAAGCGTCGTGTTCTCAGGAGTGTAAGATGCACTTTCTATCCACCCCGCCCCCTGTATCTTAATCTGCAGAATACACTGCGGATTAAGAGGATTTATAGTTGTTCAGTCATCTTCCGGAAGACATCTCTTCCCCTAACACATTCCTGCGGAGGGAGCTGGTAGGAACGTTGGGTTGCTCGGTCAATGGCCTGCAGGGTCAACGGCGGCGTGGTGTATTCCGCAAATATGCCCGACTGTGAGGGCGGGCACGAGCCGGCGTGAGTAGGTTACACGTTGAGTTTTATAAGGGCACCACGGGGTGACCAGCCCCTCCCCACCCAGCCCCTCCCTGTACGACGGACACAATAATCCCCTGTGGGCTGGTGTAACCAGGAGATTCCTACCACTATAAACTAATAGCTCAGTGGGTTTTTTAACTTGGTAATTGCCTTCCCTATGCTTTGCGCTCCCATTGTGTTTTCGTAACGTACGTCGTTGTAAAGTTCTGACCACCGTGCCCCCTTTACTGGACATCCTGTGAAGTGAAAAAAAAATGTTCCTAGCGCGTCGAATTCCTCGCGCAGTATGCATTCAAATTCTGATTCTATCTTGAACGGTCACAGAAAATTGGGGCAAATTTACGGATTTCACAAATCTCCAGATGTGTGTCATGGACTTCTTGCGGAAGATGCCCTTCTCTCAAGGGTTTCTGGCGGCGCGTCTGACACGGCCATTACGAATCGGAATATTTATTCGTGCTGGAGGAGGGATCCGATGAGCCGTGAAGATCTTTTATTCGCACGTGTCCAGTCGGGGCACGGGGTCAGAATTTTGCACCCAAACAAAACATACGACGTGAGTGCAAAGTGTGGGGATGGGTATGTAAACGAATCGCTCTAAAAAATATATTAAAGAAACTACAGTCAATTTCGATTTAAAGCTTTCGTGACTGCAGGGATTCATCTTCTTGGTTCTTTCGGTAAAGTCACGTAGAAGGGAAATAATTAAATAATAAAAATAAAACTTACTAAAATTCTCACGACGTTTCGGCCACAACGCAAGCAGCCGTCTTCAGGTGAAGAACAGGTCTGTCGGAAACACAGCGTCTGAATGAACAGGTCTGTCGGAAAGACACCGTCTGAATGAACAGGTCTGTCGGAAAGACAGCGTCTGAATGAACAGGTCTGTCGGAAAGACAGCGTCTGAATGAACAGGTCTGTCGGAAAGACAGCGTCTGAATTAACAGGTCTGTCGGAAAGACAGCGTCTGAATTAACAGGTCTGTCGGAAAGACAGCGTCTGAATTAACAGGTCTGTCGGAAAGACAGCGTCTGAATGAACAGGTCTGTCGGAAAGACAGCGTCCGAATGAGCACCACCAAGCTTGGCAGCATATATTTAAGCGGGTTACAGGAGGAGAGTGCCTTGACAAAGGAATTTACATATATGTATATGGCTGCTTGCGTTGTGGCCGAAACGTCGTGAGAATTTTATTTTATTATGTTTTATTGTTATTATTTTATTATTTCCCTTCTACGTGACTTTACCAAAAGAACCAAGAAGAAAAAACTACAGTAAAATCTTAGTCTGCGAGTGTTTTGTAAGACGAGCAAAAATATTAACTAAAAATTAATTTGATAAACGAGCGAGGGGTCTTGCAATACGAGTCGTACGTGTATAGGCTTTGTCTGCCGAGCGTCACGTGATCACAACTGATGTACGGGTGCTTTGGATTCCAAACACATTTCCGGAACGAATTATGCTCGCAATCCAAGGTTTTACTGTACTTTTATTTTGTTAGGTAAAGATCACCGAGCTAGCAACCACCATGCAGAGGTCGCAAATGCGTTTTGATTCCTTACCCGTACCCGGCCGCACCAGGGTTGCAAATGGGTACCCGTACCCGGCCGGGCACTGATACTCGTTCCCTACCCGTACCCGTTCCCTACCCGTACCCTACCCGAAATGAGTGACAAACGGTTACTCACCAGTGACTCACGGCCTACCCGTACCCGGCCGCACCAGGGTCGCAAATGGGTACCCGTACCCGGCCGGGTACGGGTAGCCGGGTATCGGGTAGGGTACGGGTATCGGGTACCCGGTTTACGACCTCTGCCCCCATGCACCCATTCTGGGCATCGTGTAGAAAAAACAGCTTTCACAGCTCAACGGATTCTCTCCACCAGCGTCAATACAGCTTCTGATTTCTGACGATTCCGGTGATGCTCGCAGGGCATGAGCGAGACGTTTCAGACCCTGCACGGACTGGTGCACAAGGGCGTGAAGGTGGTGATGGACATCCCCTACGAGCTGTGGAACGAGACGTCAGCAGAGGTCGCCGACCTAAAGAAACAGGTTCAGTACCAACTCCTCACTGCGCACAGACATTGGTGTTTTTTCCCTCCACATTTAGCATCTATGTGTGTTTAGAGGTTTTTACCCTTTCAACTGGTACAAAAACTGACACCTTTTATACAAGGCATCATGTTTGCAATAACCACAACACAAGCAGTCAAAATACAAACAAAAAGAAACAACTCTGATGATGATTATATGCACTGTCCTTGAAGTTGATTGGTCCACACCCGAGACAGCTTTTCTTAGAGCCTAGTCTCCATTGGTGTTGGACCAGATGATGCCAAAAGGCGTACAACTCAAAGACAGCGCACTATCTGAGTATTGAGAGCTCGGGGTGAGCATTTACACTGAGACATCTACTTTACCAGTGGCAAAATATAGTAATAGGTTTGTATAACTGACACCTTGTATAAAGGTGTCAGTTTTTTGTACCAGTTGAAAGGGTAAAAACCTATCACTATATTTTGCCACTGGTAAAGGAGGTCTCGTAGTGTAAATGCTTCGCCCGAGCTCTCAATACTCTGATAGTGCGCTGTCTTTGAGTTGTACGCCTTTTGGCGTCATCTGGTCCAAGACCAATGTGAGACTGGGCTCTAAGAAAAGCTGTCTCAGGTGTGGACCAATCAACTTCAAGTACAGTGCATATCATTATCATCATCAAAGTTGTTTCTTTTTGTTTGCATTTGACTGCTTGTGTTGTGGTTATTGCAACATGACGCCTTGTATAAAGGTGTCAGTTTTTGTACCAGTTGAAAGGGTAAAAACCTACTATATTTTGCCACTGGTAAAGGAGATGTCTCATAGTGTGTTCAGAGGATTTGGCTACTCTAGATTTGAACGTGACGGACAGGGCTTCTGTATGAATCCGAAATCGACTCTGGTGATGATTCTCCGCTTAGTCGGGGTATCGTTTGTGAGCGCGAGGTCGCTCCGTGTGAGCCTTGCACCAGATGAAATAATAAGTATAACCAGTAAAAACAAAGTTTTTCACTATAAATCCTTTATATGCGTGGCGGCTAGAGTCCTCTCGTCCTCTGGCTTGAGATGGCTGCCACCTATGGGTCAGATGATTGCATTGCACCATTAAGCAATTGGTAATTAAATATAATATTTTTGTCCTAAAAAGTGTAAAATTTTGTAAAAAAAATTTCACGAACATTAATTGTCACGCACAACGAGTCTTGTGTGGAAAATGTCAGCTCGATTGGATCACGGGAAGTGGGTTAAAAAACGACCGAAAGATTTGCACGGTCCTAAGCAAGCAAGTGAACTTAATATAAAGGATTTAAAAATAAAAACCGTAGTTTTACATTCTCTCAACTCTTTCCCAAACTCGCGCAGCCTTTGTCACCCTGCCGTCTGACCCAATGTCCCCGCGCGCGCGTGTGCTCAGTGCGACATGATGATGGGCGAATACGAGGAGGTGATCGAGGATTGGTACTGGCACCACCAGCAGGAAGACCTCAAGGTGTTCCTGTGTGAGAAGCACATTCTGCGTGGCCAGGATAAAGGTAGCAACGCAACTCGCTTATACTCCTACTGCTACACACACACTACCAGCTGGCTTGTACACTCACTCACCCTGCTACACACACACACACTACCAGCTGGCGTGTACACTCACTCACCCCGCTACACACACACACACTACCAGCTGGCTTGTACACTCACTCACCCTGCTACACACACACACACGCTACCAGCTGACTTGTACACTCACTCACCCTGCTACACACACACACACACTACCAGCTGACTTGTACACTCACTCACCCCACTACACACACACACACTACCAGCTGGCTTGTACACTCACTCACCCCGCTACACACACACACACACACTACCAGCTGACTTGTACACTCACTCACCCTGCTACACACACAGGCTACCAGCTGGCTTGTACACTCACTCACCCCGCTACACACACACACTACCAGCTGGCTTGTACACTCACTCACCCCGCTACACACACACACTACCAGCTGGCTTGTACACTCACTCACCCTGCTACACACACACACACGCTACCAGCTGACTTGTACACTCACTCACCCCGCTACACACACACACACACTACCAGCTGGCTTGTACACTCACTCACCCTGCTACACACACACACACGCTACCAGCTGACTTGTACACTCACTCACCCCGCTACACACACACACGCTACCAGCTGGCTTGTACACTCACTCACCCTGCTACACACACACACACACACACTACCAGCTGGCGTGTACACTCACTCACCCCGCTACACACACACACTACCAGCTGGCTTGTACACTCACTCACCCCGCTACACACACACACTACCAGCTGGCTTGTACACTCACTCACCCCGCCACACACACACACTACCAGCTGGCTTGTACACTCACTCACCCTGCTACACACACACACACTACCAGCTGGCTTGTACACTCACTCACCCTGCTACACACACACACACTACCAGCTGGCTTGTACACTCACTCACCCCGCTACACACACACACACTACCAGCTGGCTTGTACACTCACTCACCCCGCTACACACACACACTACCAGCTGGCTTGTACACTCACTCACCCCGCTACACACACTACCAGCTGACTTGTACACTCACTCACCCCGCTACACACACACACACTACCAGCTGGCTTGTACACTCACTCACCCTGCTACACACACACACACACACTACCAGCTGGCTTGTACACTCACCCTGCTACACACACACACTACCAGCTGGCTTGTACACTCACCCTGCTACACACACACACACACACGCTACCAGCTGACTTGTACACTCACTCACCCTGCTACACACACACACACACTACCAGCTGACTTGTACACTCACTCACCCCACTACACACACACACACTACCAGCTGGCTTGTACACTCACTCACCCCGCTACACACACACACTACCAGCTGACTTGTACACTCACTCACCCCGCTACACACACACACACTACCAGCTGGCTTGTACACTCACTCACCCTGCTACACACACACTACCAGCTGGCTTGTACACTCACTCACCCCGCCACACACACACACTACCAGCTGGCTTGTACACTCGCTCACCCCGCTACACACACACACACTACCAGCTGGCTTGTACACTCACTCACCCCGCTACACACACACACACACTACCAGCTGGCTTGTACACTCACTCACCCCGCTACACACACACACACACTACCAGCTGGCTTGTACACTCACCCTGCTACACACACACACTACCAGCTGGCTTGTACACTCACCCTGCTACACACACACACACACGCTACCAGCTGACTTGTACACTCACTCACCCTGCTACACACACACACACACTACCAGCTGACTTGTACACTCACTCACCCCACTACACACACACACACTACCAGCTGGCTTGTACACTCACTCACCCTGCTACACACACACACACACTACCAGCTGACTTGTACACTCACTCACCCCGCTACACACACACACTACCAGCTGGCTTGTACACTCACTCGCCCCGCTACACACACACACTACCAGCTGGCTTGTACACTCACTCACCCCGCCACACACACACACTACCAGCTGGCTTGTACACTCACTCACCCTGCTACACACACACACACACTACCAGCTGACTTGTACACTCACTCACCCCGCTACACACACACACTACCAGCTGGCTTGTACACTCACTCACCCCGCTACACACACACACGCTACCAGCTGGCTTGTACACTCACTCACCCTGCTACACACACACACGCTACCAGCTGGCTTGTACACTCACTCACCCTGCTATACACACACACACACACTACCAGCTGGCTTGTACACTCACTCACCCTGCTATACACACACACACACACTACCAGCTGGCTTGTACACTCACTCACCCTGCTACACACACACACACACTACCAGCTGGCTTGTACACTCTCTCACCCCGCTACACACACACACACTACCAGCTGGCTTGTACACTCACTCACCCCGCTACACACACACACACACTACCAGCTGGCTTGTACACTCACTCACCCCGCTACACACACACACTACCAGCTGGCTTGTACACTCACTCACCCCGCTACACACACACACGCTACCAGCTGGCTTGTACACTCACTCACCCTGCTACACACACACACACTACCAGCTGGCTTGTACACTCACTCACCCCGCTACACACACACACACACACTACCAGCTGGCTTGTACACTCACTCACCCCGCTACACACACACACACTACCAGCTGGCTTGTACACTCACTCACCCCGCTACACACACACACACTACCAGCTGGCTTGTACACTCACTGCTACTCCCACATTACCAAGTGGCTTCTACTCAACTCGCCAACTCGCTCGCCCTACTACTCACACCATCCCTCGCGAACTCATAAAAAGACAAACATCCCCCGTGCAGCCTTAACAGACTGTAGGGGCAAGGTGCTGTTAGCGAGCAGCACATGTGAACGTCCAGCCGGCGTTGTCTCTCTAGTAGCGATGTTTGTACAATGCACCAGGTACTCGGTTGAGGCCGAGCCGACCTAGGGGAGGCCCCGGACGGATTCGGATAATTGTCACCGGTGTTGGCCGTGAGCGGGAATCGAACTCTTGTCGCGCCGGGTTCGGAGCGCGGAGTGCCGACCGCTACATTACCAACTCACTCGCGCGCCCAGCCATACC